TGAGGTGTTCGGTCAACGTTCCTTTCGTAGTATAGGCTGTATGTCATGGTGTCATCAACGTCGGTAATGCGGAAGTCATGTTTGGATTTTCCAGGAGAATGGAAAAGTCAGTTGATGACAAGGTGAATCTTCATCGATTAAGGTGGCTGCAATGGGACAAGTGTTATGCATGCCTAGTCGCCGTTTGCCTCGTTGCGTAATGCCTAGTTGAAGTGGGTTTAGGCTGGAAAAACGTTTGGGATGGCCAGACTAAAGCATACCATCATTGTATGAAGTGCTTGACTGTTGGTATGAGCTATATAGGGAAATGTATACTTCATGATTGGGATCCGTGTAGCAACAAAAACCAATGGTTGGAGACTATTGATGAAATGACTGACAATCGTCATATTGAATCCATTATTTTCTTATTCCTCCTTTCTCTCTTTTACCTCTTTTAACAGATTAGAATCTTTTTTACTTTCATCTTATTGCTTTGTTGCTTGATGTAATAATATGAGATAAGAGGTCTGGGAACCTGAACCGTTGTGCAGTACTGCCTGGTCATTTGTTTATTTTCACTTCAGGTTGATATTCATCATAGACTGACATGAGTTGGAGGGACATTGGAAACACGGAAGCATTGAGCAGCTATTTCGTCCGACTAGTATGGAACTCCTCAGGAGTCCGCACCCACGACCCCACCCCACCAGGGTTCGAACCCAGGACCTTCATGTTCCATGGCCACCATGTTACCATTGAGCTACAAGAGAAATCGCCAGTTGTTGTAGACTGATTGTAGGTGATATGGGTGAGAACCGATGTCAGTGGCACAGATGTATCTCCGCACACATTATCCTCATCTTAATGGGGTTATACCGAACCTCATCATTTCCTCATTCTTGCTTTCTCTCTTTTTGACTGAATTTTCCTTTCTTCGTGTTCCACTTCACTGCCAAATTACTTGATGTAGTGATATGAGATGTGGCAAGTTGGACCATTACGCAGTAATGTCTGGTACAATGTTGATTTGGATGGGCGGATGACAGTGATGAAATTATGAGTAATTCTAAAGGTCAGCCTAACAGTCAGTACAGTAATCAATAATTAGAGTTCTGTATTATATAGAGGAAGGATCTACCTTATCAACTTGATTACTTGAGTCAACTTTGGGGTAGTCGTTCAATTCAACACCTGGATGTCAGTCTTCAGTTATCGATTCTACTTCAAATCTCCACTAGTGTACATAGCAATATGTAATAGCAGAACGTACAATCGTGAGAGTTGTTTTACTGACTTCAATAATTCACATAGTCTGTTAGTGTTATGCAGCTATGAAATATAATTTTTATGGCTGAATAAAATAACCTGACCTGTAGCCTTTTTTTCAGGAAATGATAATGACCTGTTTTTGGAAGTGATTAGTAGCGATTCATCATCACCATCATTATCAACATAGGACCAGGCATTACTGCGTAACGATCCGAGTTGCCACACCTCACGTCAGTTCATCAAGTAAAAAGGTAGACCGATAGCTGCTACCTTGACGTGGTGGTCGGGCTTGCATATCACAATGACCCAACGAGCTATGCTGGTGGAACGCTTGTTCCCTCGAGGTCCTACTATACCAGAAAGGTCTGTTGGATAGTGGTTAGACGAAAAGCAGTTACCGTTAGAGTGTAAATTACTACACTATGATGGGGGTCTGAGGGTGAAGTCGTACTGCTGCTAGCTGGATGGGGTGTGACAGCAGTGCCGTGCCGATGCTGCCTTCTCAGTGGAAGTGGGGGGGGGGGGGGGTTAGAAAAGGTCGGTCCCAAAAATAACACTCCACCATGCCCTACGGTTTGCTGGGCCGGCGGTGTTGGTTCACTTGTCATTTCCTTTCGACCATGCGGCTCCAAAAATACGAAAGTTCAAAATAATCATACTCAAAAGGCTGGGTGTGACAGGCCTCAAGCAGATGTCCGATGGGCTCTGCGGTCACACAAATCTCTTTCAGGTACCTTAAGAAGAAATAGCCTTCCACGGTGTGGGCAGCCGGGAAGTGTCAACCGCCCTCACAACTCTGTCAGCACTCAAGTTTCTTCTGATTAGTAGCGATTGTTGTTTAAGGTAAATAACGTAATCCACTTGATGATGGGATTATGAAAATGATCGTCCAGTTGAGTACGTTACCTTTCACACTGTTTCGATAGTATGTGTAAGGATTTGAAGTGATGCATTTTGCGGCTCTTATATTGTCCTCTGTCTTATCAAGTAGGTCATCGTAAAAGTGACTCAAATTTATACTATTCTCAATGGTCAGATGTTGAATGTGAACAATTTTCACTTTTGTTAATCAACTTGTATTCCAATAGATTTTGTTTGTTGACCAACCAACAATAGTTTGTTAGCCTAGTTCTTCCTGCTTGTAAATTAACTTACTTCTATTATCTACCTACATGAAATCTGGGCATGCATCCAGGTAGTGTCATTAGCGCCACCGACACAGATGGTTCATTCGGGGACATCACGCGCCAGGCCCTCGTGTGAAACCTGAATGGGAACGATGAGTTGGGCATCTGAGGCGAGGGCAATATGGAGATCGTGTGAGGAAGAAATGAAAGGTTATGCGGAGTCGTAGAACTAGATTGAGTAGACTGCTGAGAAGAGATGGGAATGGCGACGTGCTACTGAAGTCTCATGTTCCACTAGGAACCCAAGGGACAAATAATAGTAATAATAATTACCTAGTGCACGTATTAATGGCGACGAGTGGCGAAATATCCGATTGTTTATTAAAGAATGAATATTTTGCGCTAGAGTGTCCCTTTTTTAGTCTTGATATGCGACTGTGAGACGTAGTCGTTCAAAGTAGAATACATGAAAGGAGTTACAGAGTTTTAATCAAAGGTGTCTTATTGGATCGTGTTAGTAATGTTCAGGTTACTCGGAGGTTACTAGACAAGACAGGCAAGTTTGTCGACTGAGATAGCTTCGAAATGTACTGCGCATATCGAGGCACCGCTTACCTCGACGTGCCATGCTAAGGGAAGTTGTATTACGTGGGAAGAGGCTATCTCACATAGTCAAAATGATAATCAATGTGATGCTCCCTTTCTTATTCTAATTCAGTTACATGTTGATTGGGATGAGACGTCCTGACTCTAGGCCAGCCAGTGTTAGTACGAACAAGCGATAGTAACGCTTCATAGATTCATGTGGTTGTTGTCGGGTGAAATTCATGGTGATTGAAATGAAATAAAAATTTGGTCGACAATAATCGGAGTTTGTGTTTCAGTTGGTAGAGCATCTGTCCGAAAACCCAACGGTTGGTGGTTGGAATCCGTCTGTAGATTTCCCAGACTTCCATTTTGCATTTAATTATCACCCAGTATAAATTAGTTTTAAAAGACCCTAGAAAATTTGGATTTCACCGATGATTTGTGTCTAATATCGCGCAAACTCGAAGATCTGCAGGTGAAAAGTAACTAGTTGACAGAAGAGGCAGGGAGGCGAAGAGGGGACTTCAAGTAAATGTAGAGAAGACAGAGGTGATGAAGACACCCAAACAACAACAGCAATAGCATCAAGAAGAATAGGCATAAATCACCTTGAACGGGAGAAACCTAAAGGAAGTAGTCTCTTCCACCTACGTAGGCAAGGTAGCATCGTTTCAACAACGGGCGAGATAGACGACGATGTCAAGACCAGCATCAGAAAGACAGCAAGACAGGCCCACCTTCATCAATCTGAAATCAGCGTGGAGATCTACTGCACTCAGCACAAAGAACAAGATTCGGATTTTCAACACCAATTCAGTTAAGTCAGTGCTTCTATGTAGTGGTTCAGAAACTTGGCGCATCACAAAAAGCACTTTCAACAAATTACAGATATTCATCAACAGCTACCACCTACACTCACTTGGTACTGAGGATGGGATGGATGGTCAGAAAGGATGATCAACAAGGAACTCTGGCAACGAACCAACGAAGTAAGAACTGTTAAGAGGTGATTCACATAGCTTTGTTGTGAGGAAACGACTTTAATCGGCCATCTGTAAAACATATTATACAGCCAATGTCATCATTGTAGAGAAGACAAAGTCCATGTTACAGCACAAACCAAAACAACATGTTAACGACAGCATCACATTCCACTGTGTTTGTCAATTTACATGTATATATGAATACACATATGTAGGGAGGAGTAATAGTGATATGCAGTTAAGGAAGGTTGAACAAGTACCTAAGTGACCTCAACAGATTGGATAAGTGGAGGTGATAAACATCCATCTTCATCTATCACTAAACATATACTTAAACTAACCATAGGATAGACATGAAAACAGCCTTTAGAGTACTATATAAAAGTGGTGAGAGTCGAGTGCTTCAATTTATTGAAGCTCCTGCCACCCGTAAATTCAAATACCCTGCTGTGTGTATACAAGAACAATTTTTACTCACATTGAGCCCACCTTGGCGTGTCACGAAACGCATTTCCAATAAACTACAGACATTCATTCATCAACAGCTGCCACCTACGCTCGCTCAATAGTGAAGATCAGATGGCCAGAATAGTAAGAGTAAGGAACAAGGAACTCTAGTTGGCGACGAACCGACCTATAACCCATCGTCCAACAAATATGCAGAAGAAGAATGTGGAGATGAAGTGTATTGGACATAGACTGAAGTGGCTTACTGGGGGACATCACGCGTCAGGCCAGGCCAGGCTAGACCGTCGAGTGGGATCCAAAGGGGGGAAACGACGAATTGGGCGTTTGAGGTGAGGGTGACATAGAGGAGATGGTGTGTGAGGAATAAATGAAAGGTTGTGGGCAGTCATAGTGTCATGTTGAAAAGACTTCAGAGAACAGAGGGAAATGACTATGCGCTACTGAAGCCCTATGTTCCATTAGGAACCCAAGGGGAAAATAATCATAATATAATAAAGTAATTGTTGTATTCAGAAGAATAATACTGACATATATTTCTTTTATTTATTTCTTTTTATTATTGGATAAATAAAAAATTATTTAGATAATTTTAATGAAGAAGCCTCTTTTCTTGGTCAATATTCTGGTATCGTGCAATCTCTAAACCTACTGTAACCGCTGTTAAAGAAGCATCCCCAGAAGTGTCTACAATCGGTGTATTAACTACTACTAGTGACAGTTCTGATGTTCTATTACGTACTACAAGTACTATTCGAGAGAATCAAACTGCTGTTTAACTTGAATAGCAAGTATATTGTCATTATTATTATTATTACTATTATTATTATTATTATGTTATATTCAGTAAATTGTCAGTCAATTGGATAGAATAACAATAATTATATATGCTTTTAACCAAAACTCCAATTATTCATTCTACACCATTTTATACATGAATATATATATATCCCCATTTCAATTATGTAAACATATTTCCCTTTTGTTGTTGGTGTTTCTCTCGAAAATCTATTCCATTACTCTGAATGTAAAGGAAGTGAACACTTGAGAAGTGGTACTGGTGTATCGTCTAGGGAACAAAATCATCTTTTTATGTCGTACTCCCATATATATATATCCTTGTAAAGAAGAACTGTGGCATGTTTGCTATGACCTAGTTCTTTGTGTATGTAAACTCCCCTCTTTTTTATTGATAATCATTGAAATTCTGGCCATGAAAAGGCCAACACATTAACAACAACAACAACAGCTATACCAACCAACCTGTGTAATTTTGACCAAGCTTTTTTTTTGTTGTTATACAGATCCATTTTTATATTATTAAAGGTGATTACTACTATTTCGATCATTATTATTATTATTATTATGTGTACTATTGAAGTAGATGAAGACATTGGGAAAAGTGTATATTATTAACAATTGGGACGGTAGTCATTACATATAATATGGGGTACACCTTGCACACTAACCCAGTTTATTTGATAAAGTGTGCTTCATTTCCTCTTCTATTTCTGTCTTGCTTTACTCTTGATCTGCTCTTCATACTGCTGCTTATCAGCAGCATCCAATGTAATATGCTTGCATTCCTTTTGACAGAAACCTTACCCATTGTTGGTAATTTTGCGATGATTCTTGTTACACGCTCAACATATACTACTTATATCGATTGTTATCAGCGACTGTTTTTTTTCTGATTGATTTGTCAACATTGACTTGTATACATATTTAAAGTACCATTTTCTTTCATTGAAAGGGATGCATGTATCATTTTGTACCTGCTTCATCCCAGTGAGTGGTGTCTTGTGCACATTTGTCTCTAAAGCGTTATCTACTATACCATTTAGTCAAAGTAGCCTCCTTGTTGTGCGATGGGTGGAGAGTAGTGCTCTGACGTTTGAGATGATATCTCCTAGGTTCTGGTCTTAGTGGGAACAACATTGCCCACTATGAGGCAGGTTTATCCAGCTGACAAGTCCTGAAAAAGAAGAAATGCGCGTTATGGATTCCACTATCCCTTATTAATATATATATATATAATTGAAACACAGGCCAATAGAGACTGATCAATTCGGTTGAATCAATGATGGGATAATGCAAACAGCGCTATATAAATAGATAATGAGGGGAAGCGGCTGAACAAACATCTTTCCCATATTTACTTCATGGTTTCTAGAAATGGATGGGTAAATAGAGAAGGCAGCCAAAGGTGGAAGGAAGGTGGGAAGGTGTGGATACATCTACGCCTCTGATACCGATTCTCGCCTACAATCTGCAAGCATTTGATTTTTTCTGTCGTATGAACCTCCATTGGGAAACTTACATTCTCCTACAATGGCTCAGACAAATCTTCAAAGACTTCATGCTGTGATGCCATTTTTTAATCTGGTCACCCCTCATTTTTTTCCCAGCCTAAACCTACTTCAACTTACATTTTGAGACTAGGTAAACAGTGACTAAGCATGCCAAGACAAACAGCCTAAGCTGTGCAGTGTACTCGACTTCTAATAGACAGCTGGTTATCATGATGGCACCATAAGTGACATAATATGGCCAAAGCCAATCTAGCCATTTGGATTGATGCAGAGATTTTTTTGGTCACTAAGCCATCAGGGCTGATCCTACTTTCCACATAAGTGAAGTGAGAAACGCGCTCAACCATTTCACTTTTCATTTCTTAGACAGGGTACCTATGAGAACCGATCATGAAGTGACAATTAACATTTTGGTAACGAGAAACTCATATAGACAATTCTCAAATTGCTACTCAAGGTATCCAGAAGACTCTGCATCTTGTTAGCGTGTTCATTTAACAAGACTATGTCATCTGCGTACTGTAGATCTCCCGAGGATCCTCCTGTGAAAAGAAAAATCCCTGTAAAGTCAGCTGACGAACAAGAGGGGAACTCCATAGTCATGTTGAACGAGAATGGAGAGAGTGGACATGCTTGATAAACATCACTTGACCTACACTAGTGAACTGGTACCTTACCATAATTCCTAGCACGCTCATGGGTGCTCAAAGACAGAAACTTCAACAGAGTAATGCATTTTCTTGACACCCTTCTCAGTGAGAGACACTGCCATACGACCTGTAGGTTGACGGAGTCTAATGCCGCCTTCAGGTCAATAAATACGACAAGTGCCGGGTTTCAGTGTGTGTGTGTGTGTGTGTGTGTGTGTTCCAGAACGCGGGGGAGTGTGAATATCTGGTCGATACAACCCTCAGCCAAATCTCAAGTCCTCATGGTTTTCTCGGGTTACCTGTTCTCCAGCCCCACTTAGGAGTCGAATGATTACACCACGTAGTAGAGACTACTTCAGGCTGATTTTCCGGTAGTTATCGCGCTTCTCAAAGAGTAGGGCGATCAGGGATTGAGGGGGAGTCAGAAGGGATCATATCTGGCTGGCATGTACTAATATCACTTGACAAGGACCATTTCGGAGCTAGGAAACCTGAACAACTGTTTCCTCCTAGTCTATAAATCCCCAACCGTGTACACCAATTGAGATGTAGGTGCCCACTGCTAAGTTTTTCGAAAGTAGGGTGGAATAGACGTCCAGTGTGTTGTCTCAACTATCAGTCCCTGATGTATCTATCTACATATAAGCTGTATTTTCCTTTCGTTCTCCGGTTTTTTCGACTCCAATACATGGATCTACACGTCCGATGGTGGTGGCTGACACACTCGATATCCGTGTATCTCTAGCTGCCATAGCACATAGGAGTTTTCGAAATCATAACAGTGGGAACGGAGATGGGATACTGGGAAATGAATTTTTCAACGTTGAACGATTTCTTCGAACAACAAATGAGGATTATCGAGATCATAACGCAATCTGAAATTTTTGGTACAAAATCGTCGCCTACTACGCCAGTTTTAATAGCTCTTTCGGTTGATGGCATCTCCAACATCATCACTGAATTTCACTACGATCCTGATGACAGTGAGACTTTTGATAGTTGATTCAGGCGTTACGAAGACTACTTCAAAGTGGATTTTGCTAGCCAAGATGATTCCTGTAAGGTATGTCTCCTATGAGGCAAACTTGGTGACATGAGGACAAATACTCAAAGATGTCGTAAACAGAAAGAAGTCGGAAATACAAACCATTAGATTCCGATCCTGGTGGGGTGCGCACTGCTGAGGAGTCCCATACTATGCGTTGCTCCCATTTTTCCAATGTTCCTTCAAATGAAATCAGTCCATGATGAATACCAACTTGAAAAGTCACTAAATCCCCACGAACCTCCAGATTGAATGATGTAATTGACTAAGAGGAGAGTTTTTACATGAATTATCACCGTGGTGAGAGATTGACAAGTGTTCACTTTCGTACGCATAAATCTGATGTCAGCGGTTTGATCACTATGGCTTCAGGTAGACGGAGAAGATTGAGACTACTGATTACTTTAATAGATTCTAAGATATCTACATAGTGTTCTGTATCTAGTAATCATGCTGGGGAGACTGTTAGATCGCCTTAGTCATAGGTCTTTCAGAGTGTATTCAAGCATCCGGAGGTAAACATTTTGTTCTTATCCTTCTGTTATACTTACTGCTTTGACAGATACTAGTCGAGTTGTCTACATAATTGTAGCTGAGACAAGAGGAATACCTGTCGACTTTCGATTAGACATAATGTGAGGCTTGACCTAAGTGCATTCTGATCAGCTGACTTCTAAATCTTTTATTCATCGTTTCATGTTTAAGATGGAAGTGAACAAAGTCGGAGATTTCCCTGGTTGCTACTTTCGTCAGTTTGTTTTATTAAGTCCTACCATATTTGCGGATCGACATTCTCCTTCAGACAGTTTCGAATTATCACAAGTTCATCTTACAAATTATAGATATATCCACAAGCATTTATCCTCACAGATATGGGAGGAATGGGAAAAGATAAAAAGCTACAGGGAACTGCAGCCAACAAATAACCTGTATTTACTTTGAAGGAGTTGTGGAGATTTGGAATTATTTCAAGTTGTTATTCATCGTAGACTGACATCAGTTGGTGGAGGAGCAAAGGAAACCTGAGAGCACCGGACCACAGCTGTTTCGTCCGACTAGTATTGGACTCGGCAGTGCGCACCCACGACCCCGCCCTCCAGGGATCGAGCCCGCGACCTTCAGGTTCGGTGGCTAACATCTTACCATTGAGTTAGCCACTGGGTCAGAATCCAATGGTCCATATTTCCAACTTTTGTTACCTCACGATATAGTGCAACCGCCACCCAATGTCATCGTTTAGTAACTGTCCTCACGGCCATCAGGTTTTGACTCCACCGGTCACGACTTCTCAATGAAACTTCGGGAATACCTCTCGAAGCCAGTCAACAATGAGCACTAGTTCAATTGAATTTTTGAGGGGGGGGGTTGTGGAGATTTGGAAATATTTAAAGTTGTTATTCATCGTAGACTGACATCAGTTGGAAGATCGCGGGTTCGATCCTTGGCAGGGTGGGGTCATGGGTGCTCACTGCTGAGGAGTCCCATACTAGTCGGACGAAACAGCTGTGGTCCAATGCTCCCAGATTTCTTTTGTTTCTCCAACTGCATTTACTTGTTTCTAGCTTAATGTTGATGAGATGGTAGAACCTACTATGGAACGATTGAAGGCATCGTTGGCTAACACTTTTCTTTTTCAACCAAGCTGGATTC